AAAAAAAAAAAAAAGAAAGGAAAGAATCTATCAGAAAAACTCTCTGTATGTATTATATTTTTGTTTCCTTCCATCATTGTTAATTCTTGATCTCAAAGGACATCACATTTCACTCATAACCTTTTCAGCAAATATATTTTCACATCACTAATTCTGAAACTGAGTCTTATCCCTAGGCAAAACTCCACCCTTGAGGCTGCTCAATATAATGTCTGAAATTGAAGGTATATATTTTAAGAAATCTTTAGATTTTCATGCTCTTCTTTTAAAATTTGTTATAGTGTCTCACTTTAGGGATGTTGAGGGTTGTGTTGTGTGTGTGTGTGTGGTTGTGTGTGTGTGTGTGCGCGCGCGCGCGCATGGGGGGGTCTCATCATTTGTGGAGTTGCCTTTCCGACATTAGAAAACGCTCTTTCCAGTCAAGTCACAGTGAGCCCGCTCTGTTCATGGCCCTCTTCCAACCCAGGAACCCTAACTGCGCGCGCTGAGCCCCTGTGCTCCCCACGCCCACGGCCTCCCCACTCTGGCAGCCTCTCCCAGCCTTGCCCGCTAACCACTCACCTCGGGAATCCCGGAGTCAGGGGCCAAGAAGCTTCTGCCTGGGCAGCCGCAGGGTGCCTGAGCCCTGCGACTGCGGTCTTGACTTCTGTCCTGTAATCTCAGACCCTTCTACCCATTCGCTTCTCCTCCACCGTGCTCCTGGACCAGCGGAGCATTTGTACCCCGCACACTTTAACCTTAAGAGCTGAAAGGGAAAGAAAATATAATAAAATATCTCACTACTTCAAGTAGATTACAGGGTATGAATGCTCAGGGGAAGAAGAGCAAGATTTGATACGGGAAATAGTTCCTAATCTGCATTTAAAATAGATCTTGAAGGATTTGTGCATATTTGGGAAAAGATGGACAGGGAAAACTTGTGCGTGCACACGTGTGTGTGTGTGTGTGTGTGTGTGTGTGTGTGTGTGTGTTAGAAGGACCCTCAGGAGCAAAGGGTAGAAGGTGGGACGGCGTGGCCCTGATAATCAGGAAATAACAAGTGATGCCATGTGGTAGAAATGAGAAGTACATGAAACAGGAAGCTACCCTGAGCGCTCCAGTTCCCTCTCCTGCAGTCGTCCTGCGTCCTAGGTCTGCACAGGACTTCTTGGTGCTCCCTTCCGTTAGCACTGCACTTGTTAAGATTCCTTTCCTTCTGGACCTGCTTAACCTCTTCATTTCTGCCTCCATCACCCTCAAATTTATAGTACACCACAGTTCCTGCTAAGAATTGCATTTAAATTGTAAGTACTCTAGGAACCTTGTTCCTCGATACTAAGGAGAGATCCTTTGCAGCCTAAATATGGCTCTATAATAGGCTTGTACCAGGGATTGAGAAAATGATCATCAAGCAGATAAATGAATACCTGAATATTTTATCATCTTCTAGAGCCATTTTCTGCCCGTTGTTGAGACAAAGGTTAAAGCCTACTTGCTTTCTCTTAAGAACAGTATAGTTGTGACAATTGCAAATGTTAGCAAGGACAATTGCTCAAAATAAAGCAACGCTCCCCCAAGATATTTGTGTTTCTTCTCAAGGTAATTTGTTCTCCTCACACCTATAATGGACCGTGGGACAAAGATATTCAGATGTACAATATGTTCACACTTGCACATGATGTGACACCAGCAACCAAAGATGGGACCCAAACTCTGTCCCTCAGAGTAATTTGTGTATTAGCAACACCAACAGGACAGGAATCTTAGTGGGTATATGGGACCCAGGCCCCACCTCACACAACCCGAATCAGTCATGTAGCAAAACCTAGAGGCGATTCCTGTGCATGTTAAAATTGAAGATGCTCTGATTTCAAAGCAAAATGGGCCAGGGATTTAGCTCAGTGGTTCCACCGCATGCCCCACAAGCGCAAGGAACCGAGTTCAATCCCCAGTACAAAAAAAAAAAAGTGTTAAAAGCAAATCATTAAGCATCTCAAGGCTCAGAATAGAATGTCTTTATCTTTTTAAAGCCACTTTTTAATTTTTCTAAATTAATTTTTAAACCCAGGTTTTAATAACTATTGATACATCAGTTCAAATAAAGTAATGAGACCAGTGAGTTCCTTCCACTTACATTAAGGACCACAAGAAGCTCACAGCAAGAAGAATAGAGGGAAAAGCAGGGACAGGAAGGCTATGAATGAATCACTTTATTTTTAGTAAAAATACAAATCACTGATTTTACCATCTACCAAATCAAAACAACCTTCAAAAGCAAGAGATAAGATAAATTCTAGCTTTTTGCCATGGTTTATGCTCCCCCACACAAACTCTCATGTCATCCTAGGTGGGGCTTTCCGAAGGTGACGGGACCTTCGGGGTGTGGAGCTCGTGAGTGGGTCAGTCCGCTGATGAGTTCATAGCTACCTGTGATGCTGGGAGACGCAGGTCACAGAAGGTGGGTCCCCGGGGACTGTGCCCCTCTTCCTCCTTCCTGGGTCTCTCTCTGCTTCCCATGGCCAAACCATGAGCCCTTTCCCCTCTGCTGTGCCACCTGCCTCAGAGCCAGCCAGCTATGGACTGAAACCTCTACAAACTGTGAGCCAAAGTAAGCCCTTCCTACACACATGTGTAAATACCAACTAGTTTCTCTGGTGTGAAAACCTAAAAGTGTAAATAAATAATAGTTCAAATTGTATAATTGATCATGTGAAATAGAAATAAAAGGGCTAAAGGAGTAAGGAAAGTGGGAAGGGTAGGGGAAAGGAAAGATATGAGAAAATGGAAACAAAGTCTTGTAAATAGGGGAGGGTAGAGGGGGTGAAGGGAGGGCAGGGGAAAGGGGAAAAACAATAACCAAGATACACCATGGAAAAGTCGAAGATCCCAATGGTGAATGTAACCATACTGTATACCTAAAATGTACCAGTAAACTCAATGAAAGAAAAAAAATTCTCCCATAAAGCTAAACACACACACACACACACACACACACACACACACACACACACAATGTAAGCCTTTCTTCCTTAGAGCTGTGAGTGCCAGTTACTGTGTCCCAGGGATGAGAAAGTAACTAAGACAGATTTTGGTATCAGGGCAGTGGGTTGTTGCTCTGAGCTCCCTGACTGTGAGGTTCAGAAGCCTTTGAAACTGACCGTGGGAGGAGTTTGAAAAGTTTCGGAGATGCTGACCTGAGAATGCTGAGTCAAGCTTGTTGGGAGACCTGAGTCAGAGCTTGGAAGACCAGAATGTTGACAGTAATGCAGCCAGCAAAGACCAGAATCAAGAGGTTTCATCTGAGAAGAAGGACTTCCGTGGTGGTTGGGCTCCCGGTGATGTGTGTTATGCTCTAGCAGATAATTTGTCTGCATTTTGTTCATGTCCAGAGAGTTCCCAGGTGACCGAGATTAATTAAGGGCCAAGGACTAATTAACTTGGCTGAAGAAATGTCACGGCAGTCCAACATTCAGGCAGTGGCATGGATACTGTTGAGGGCTTTTAGCCAAATCTACCTTGAGAATCAAGAGCAAAAGCTACAGCTGAATGATTTTAAACATTTTGAGTTTGGCCAGAAAGAAAGCTCTGGCAAAGTTGGGGCCTGCAGAGATGGAGCAGAGGAGTTTGGCTGCTGCAAATCTTAGCATTAAAGGGAAGTTGAGTCCTTTACAACAGTGCAATAGAAAAATGGATTAAAAGCTCAAAATTGCAAAAGTGAAAAGCTTTGCTTTGAGAAGAAATCCTCAGGGCTCTGTGATAGAAAAGGGCTACTTAAGGAACTGATTTCCAGGATTTGGTTCACCAAGGTCATCCTTGGCTCTTAGAGGCTCCTGTAAGCCCAGCAAGATGCAAAGGGCCACTGCTCCAGCTGGCGGCAGACCTTGGCATCATCCATGGGGTCTTAGGTGCATGCAGAATGCAAGAGTTGTGTGGGTAGGGAGGTTTTCACCCAGATTTTGGAAGAATCCCTGAGAGGCCAGACAGCGAGCCCCTGAGAGGGCCGTGTGTGAAGCCGTGTGTGTGAGGCTGAGAGTGCAGTGGAGACCGCAGGCTGATGGAAGAGCCAGAAACATGGGTCATCTGAGGAAAGTCATGAGGAGCTGCAAAGCCAAGCCTGAGAGAGAAGCTGTGAGGGCCGTGACCAGCGGCAGAGCCACCCAAGCCCTGCAGAGCTCATGTCTTGCTACAGAACCTCCTGAGTTTAATCTTTGGTTTTTACAGGGGCTCAACTACGTAGGTGTGTCCCTCAGGGGAGATGTTGGACTTGGACTTTTCAACAGTGCGGGAACTATTAGGACTTTGGCAACCCCCAGAGGTGGACTAAGTGTCCTTTGCATAAAAAAGATGATCAATCGCCTTTTGAGGTCAGGGCATGTTATGGTTTATATCTAGATGTCCCCCAAAGCCCCATGTGCTCATAGGTGGGGCTTTCAGGAGGTGACTGGGCCAGGAGGGGT